ATTATAACTGTATTAGTCAACTGAGATTGCAAAATCAGATTATTCTTAGTTTTGTTTCATTCATACATCATTGCTCAAGTTGAATAGTAATCTTAACTACTGTCTCGCTGGAGCCAGGTTCGATCCTGATCGATTGAGCGATCGAGGCGCATCTGTCCCTGCTACCTGCCCTACTGCACCATAAGCACATAATTTCACACAACATTTTTTTGACATTTTCGTTGAACACAAAAAACACTGATAGTAGAATGGGTATGTATGTCGTATCACTCTTGTCAGAGCGGTCGTGGTCGTCATCCAATATCATTGCTGTGGGCAGATGTTATGCGCCTCACAATCAATCGCCTCTCCTCGCGGATAGGTAGGTACTACTAATTTGCCTATACCTGCCGCGAAGTAATTATTCGTTATAGGACATGATAAATTGAAACCTCAACCTCAACTCTTAAGACTGGGCAGCAGCTGGGCTATATAAGGAGTCCGGTAAATTAAAATTAAGTCGCGTCATCACCTCTGCTTGTATGCAACCATTAAAAAATAACAATGCACAACAAAAGCATCAATGCACCAAGAATCCTATAAGCTTCGAAATATATACATATATTACGTAAGCTTGAAGCTCTGTCGGTAATCAGTCGATTAAGAAACATGCCACGACCAAGTTCATTACGGGAAAGAAAGAATGTTCATACACGAACTTCATTACCATATCTGAAGAAGAAAGTTTAATTGAGTTCCGAAGTTTGTCCAAGCGAGTATTGTGTTAGATCGTAGCGCGTACCGCTTGAATGAGCTACGTAGGTCAGAACTCGTAGCTCGTAGCGTCTATCCGTAGCAGGTTTGATTTGTAGTGTCGTCATTAAACTTTAAGATGGTTATTTTACCTTATTAGTACTAGTGGTCGCCCGGTAGTCGAAATTCGACTATAATTAATTTAAACTATAAGTTTGAACATTATTAAGGGTCTATTATCAAAGGCTATCATAGCCCTCTTTAATAACAAATTTCGCCAAGACTACATACACTATATATAAATGATATTGAAGACGAACAATATCTATCTATTCTGAATTTGATCACAGACTTTAACAATAACAAAAGAGTGTGTGTGTGTCAAATACATTGTAGTGTGTGTAATGTTTTTTTATTGATTTAATGTATTTTTTTAGTATAATTTAAAAAAAAAGAAGCATTTTCGCACTCCTTCTCTATATATTTTCTATAAGTGTGGGAGATTTCATACTCCTCCATTCAGGCAATTTTCGTAAAAAGGGGCACAAAGTTTTTTCTTCACGTATTAATATATTACGCAGGAGGTGATAACATTTTCATAAATTTTCTAGTGTCGAGTAAAAAAAACACCATTAAAATATCTGGTCTTTACTTATGAAATTACCGTTTAGTGTATTATACTAAACGGTAATTTACTATAATATATTTATATAATTTCATAAGTAAAACGAAAACATACAGTTAAATAAGAAAAACGAAAAAAAAAAAAAAAAAATTGCTTTATTTTTCGCCCTTAATACGTCCTTGTTAACTTTACTTTTCGGACGACTATGGGGTTCGTTTTTTTGGGTTCAAAATTCCCATGTCCGAAGAGTTCAAATTAATAAGGAGACGTGCGTTCATCTGTAGTGTTCACACTGTAAACATAATTATTGTTTTGATACGTTTGTACAGCATTACTACAGCTACAGAATTTGTATTCCAAATTTAATGTTATTCTTATTGTGTCGTCCATGTTGATGAAAAAAATACAAATGTAGTGAAAACACAAAACAATAAACAAATTAATGAATATGAAAATGAATTTTTTTTTTTTTTAATTAAATTCATTTGTATTCAAAATTTATTGCTAGCCATACATAAATTACATTTCAAATGTATAAGTATTGTAAAACGGCAACTTCTATGACCAATTACACACGAAAACGTCAAACGATTTTTTTATTTATTAGATTGGTGGACAAACTCACAGCTCACCTGGTGTTAAGTGGTTACTGGAGCCCATAGACATCTACAACGTAAATGCCGCCACACGTCTTGAGATATAAGTTCTAAGGTCTCAGTATAGTTACAACGGCTGTCCCACCCTTCCAAACGAAACGCATTACTGTTTCACCGCAGAAATAAACAGGATGGCGGTACTTACCCGCGCGCACTCACAAGAGGTCCTACCACCAGTAAATATGGCTAGTGTGAGGCGACTTTAGATTATTGTTATAAAAACTAGTCTCAACGACGAAAAATTTAACGATGATTAAAACAAACATTTTTAAATGACCTTAATTTTATCAGTACACATACCTATATATATGTGTAATATATATTCTACATATGTGTACAGATAGCATACATATGTGTATATGTATGTGTAATCATACCGATAACCCGAAACAAAATTACGTACATATCCATAATCAAAATTTGCAGTCACATTTACACGAACTCGATTTGTAATATACACTCATTAAATTAACTACACATTTCGTAGGCAGCGGCCTGGCTCTGCCCCTGGTATTGCTGAAGTCCATGGGCTACGGTAACCACTCACCATCAGGTGGGCCGTATGCTCGTCTACACGGGCACGTCGTACAAGGGCAATACAAAAAAACATTAAATATTTAATTACTACACATTTAATATTATATATATTAGACATTAAATACACTACTCAGGCACATTATTGAAGTCGATGTGGCCTAAAGAATAAGACGCTTGGTCATATCACGCGATGCGACAGTGCCGGTGTTCGAATCCCGGTAGAATGTACCACTTTTTTTGTTTAGCACATGTTAACGAATTGCTTCTATGATGAAGAACATAATATGTTGTATCATCGTGTATTATTTGAAGTCGTCGTGGCTTAAAGGATAAGACGTTCGGTGCATTCGTATGTAGCGATGCACCGGTGTTCAAATCCCGCAGGCGGGTACCAATTTTTCTAATGAAATACGTACTCAACAACTGTTCACGATTGACTTCCACGGTGAAGGAATAACATCGTGTAATAAAAACCAAACCCGCAAAATTATAACTTGCGTAATCACTGGTGGTAGGACCTCTTGGGAGTCCGCACGGGTAGGTACCACCACCCCGCCTATTTCCGCCGTGAAGCAGTAATGCGTTTCGGTTGGAAGGGTGGGGGTAGCCGTTGTAACTATACTGAGACCTTAGAACTTATATCTCGTGGTGGGTGGCGCATTTACGTTGTAGATGTCTATGGGCTCCAGTAACCACTTAACACCAGGTGGGCTGTGAGCTCGTTCATCCATAAAAGCAATAAAAAATAAAAAAAAACATACCAAATGCGCTAAAATCATAATGAGGGTAGGACGTCTTCTGGGTCCGCACGGTAAAGTACCACCACCCTGCCTATTTCTGCCATGAAGCAGTAATGCATTTCGGTTTGAAGGGTGGGGCAGCCGTTGTACTGTAAATACTGAGACCTATTAAAACCTATGCATCTCTCGAAATAGGTGGCGATATTTTCGTTGTAGATTCATGGCCTCCGGTAACAACTTAACACCAATTGAGCGGTGAGCTCGTCCATCCATCTAAGCGATAAAATATATACACATATATGTATACCGCTTCTAAAACCTTTTATATTTATGTTTACTGATGCTTGTTTTAAGTCGTCGTGGCCTAAAGAATAAAACGTCCGGTGCATTCGTATGTAGCGATGCACCGGTGTTCGAATCCCGCAGGCGGGTACCATTTTTTTCTAATGAAATACGTACTCAACAAATGTTCACCATTGACTTCCGCGGTAAAGGAATAAATAACATCGTGTAATAAAAATCAAACCCGCAATTATAATTATAATTTGCGTAATTACTGGTGGTAGGACCTCTTGTGAGTTCGCACGGGTAGGTACCACCGCCCCGCTTGTTTCTGCCGTGAAGCAGTAATGCGTTTCGGTTTGAAGGATGGGGCGGCCGTTGTGACTGTGCTGGGACCTTGGAACTTATATCTCAAGGGGTGTGGCGCATTTACGTTGTAGATGTCTATGGGCTCCAGTAACCACTTAACACCAGGTGGGCTGTGAGCTCGTCCACACATCTAAGCAATAAAAAAAATAAAAAATGCTCTTTATCATAATAATCCCTTTGTCAATCTACGTATATTAAACTACCTCTTTCCGAAAATCACAAAAACCGACGGTCTTTTTAAGAAATTTAAGCAAAAAAAAAACTTCATAACGCACACTGTGCAATTGGGCCATTGTAAGCCCGTACGAGCTGGTACCACCAAGTTTTTTTTTGCTAAGATGGGTGGACGTGCTCACAGCCCACCTGGTGTTAAGTGGTTACTGGATCCCATAGACATCTACTACGTAAATCTCGCCACCCACCATGAGATATGAGATCTAGGCTCTCAGTATAGTTGCAAAGACTGCCTCACCCTTCAAACCGAAACGCATTACTGCTTCACGGCAGAAATAAGCAGGACGGTGGTACCTACCCATGCGGGCTCACAAAAGGTCTTGGTAGGACTTCCAGTGCTTAGGTATTTATGTACCAAGTTTCTTATTTATGCCGCGAAGAGGTCATGCGTACCAACCATTGTAAAGAAAGCACAAGTGAATTACCTTTACGAATTAGATTTATTTAAATCAAGACTAACTTTATTGGTAAGTATATTCACATATTTAAAGTCCCAAAATTTTGTTTCAAACTATAATATGTATAACAAAGAGACACATTATAACCGTTAATTAAAAACCTTAATAAATTTCTTCAACCTGTTGCACTGCATTGCAACAAATTAAAATATATTCAAACGTTACGCTTTATTAAAGACAACAAATTCATAAAACGAATTAAATATTACATATCGCATGTGTAATTAATTACACACACACACACACACACATAATACTGAGTACTTATCTCTTATACTAAAAGCGCGCTGTCAAAATGTTATAATGCCATTAGCCGAGGCCACGGGCAGCCCACGGTAATTATGTTAGTAATAAATCTCACACAGACCTAAATTATCTGAGCCGGTGCAGGAAGGGCCCGCGAACACCAGGAAAACCGCCAACACTACCGATAAACCATACATGTTTACATAATACCATTAATTAATTAGAATGTTCTAAAGTCATCGATATAATCCATGTTCAGTATAACGAATACGACACTAGCGGAACATTCTGACACTGATTGATGCTAAAATACGCGCGAAAATTCTCACGTGACGTTTGTTGTCACGTGGCGGACCGCGTGGCTATGCGTGTCCGCTAAAAACAAACGTGTAGCCACATTGAGTCCGGACGTCCAACTGACGACTGACGCGAGTCGGCGATACAAACGCTCTACGACTATTGGACACGAACTCACGGCGAGCCCATCAATTTGGCCTGACGTTTCAATGAGAACCCTTCCTTATTTTCCCTGGAGAGAAATTAGGGTGGTCCAAGCCGGCTATAATTAAAAAAAAACCTGTATCGATTAGGGCAGCTTAAACTTATATCGCGGTCATAAAAAAAAGGTATTAAGAAAAGTTTCCTCTTTATTACGCTAAAGCTGAATGTGTAATGAATGAATACCTAAAATCTGAAGCGAATTAAAATGCGCGTTAATGTCTACTTAAGTTAAACCCCAAAAAGGACTTCACACAAAATGCTGTCTTTACATTCTGAATTTGAAATATTTTCTTGTATTTTCAAAACAGAAATGACTCAGGCAATCATTTCTATCCTTTCAACGCGTCTTATTTGTTTACCAATAATATTTCATGAACTACAAAAGCTACTAAGAAATTTCATGTTTACGTAAACACTCACGTCTCTAATCCCATCAAGGAGTAGATAAAGCCGTTCGTTTTGTGGCGAGATAAACAAAACAAGATGCGAACTCATTACGTTTTTGATATAAAAAGATTTCTCATGTTTTTTTTTTTCAGTTAAACAATAAATATCTTGAAAATTAGGGCCACCTTTTTTTAAATATTTCTTTTTAAATGTCACTGTCACATATCATATTGTCCATTATGCCATAGTGATTTTTTTTAATTGGCACAGAAATCATTCTTCAAATATAGGCTTAAACACGAAAATTATATTCAACAAAATAACCTACAAGTGGCTATATAAATAAATTAATGAATTGAACTAAACAGGTAAACAATATCACTGCACTATATTGTAGGTTAATCATCGAAGCCCACAGATACTGTAATCACTTAAATAGTCAATCACATTTAAATATATAATAAATAAGTTAGTAGTAAGTGATGCGAATTCAAAACGGCCCTACTTGGACACACTATAAGTATGTAATAACATTGCCAAGAACTAAGATAAGCAGCGTTATCGTCCATTTCAGAGCCTGATGGTACAAGGCAAAATATATACCTACTTTTGCCACGTACCATCATGCTAGTGATGCGTAGTAGGAATAAACTTGACCCCGGTGGAAGGTATTACAATTGTATTAAGGAAAAGACGTACTCATCTCAAACATTTATTCATATTACTCCCATTGAGACGTACGATATATGTCGCAAAAAGTACTCGAATCACTTTGTAGCCTCAAAGATTCCAAAAGATCAGATGCGTAAGTACACTTACGATGAAGGACAATACAATAAAAACACATCTGGTCTTGTTATTCACAAGAATAGGAATTCATATTTTACATTGTATTGAATCAGCATTGCAACGAAGAACGAAATATTCGTAAAACTCTGCATTGACTATTGTCGCCTGTTTTCCTAGAAATCCAGAGGCCAAACTATACAAAATAAGAAAAATCACAGTTAGTTTGGAGCCTTAACGTCTGTATTGCCTTGGGAACATCGATCGATCCTGCAACAGATGCTGCCACCCCTTATTCACAGCTCGTTAATCTTCTGCTATATTTATTGGTCCTTCCAGCAATATTAATGTATAAATATAAATAATTCTTTCATACGAAGATTTTCTCTCTATGATAATTATTGCAATTTAAATTTATTTTTTTCGGTGTGGATTGGGTGAGGCCTATGTCCAGCAGTGGACGACTGTAGGCTGTTGATGATGATGATGATGATGAAATCAATAAAAACAAAGTACTATTTCGGCGGACAGAGAAAACTGTAGAGTCGTGTAAGCTTTCTGATCGAAACATAAAGCCTGTATTTATTTATAGGAATCATAAATTGACTAAATAATGAAGTAATATGGTTGAAATAGGTGGTATTATACAATCATAAAAATTACTAAAAATATGAAATAATTATGAAAAATATCCCAGCACAAAATTATTTAATAATTTACCTTTATTCCATACTTTTCTACAGCTCAAAAAAAATTCAAACTACAAAACTATTTTTTCATTAGTAGTTACTTGAAAAAAAATGTTGAATAAAACTACACAGAAGTATGTACCTATTTGACGAAAACGAGTTTGGCATTGAATTATAACAATGAATCATAATTACAATCAATGACTATTACAATAATCACAATAAATCTTACAAAGCAGTTTAAAATAATCAAATCATCTCAATCATTCAATAAACAAATCAAATAATCTCATCGAATAAAACTATATTGAAGGTTTGCAAGTAACTGTTTCACCATATACGTTAAATTGTCGTTTTTTCATTACAGATCGGACATTCAAATAACATATAAACACGAAATGCGAAAATACCTTTGTTCGTGCCCGCAAACGAGTGCTTTCAAACATCGAACTATTTCGTGATAAAAGGTAAGGCCTTTTACTTTCGCACGGAGGGCACATTGTTTCGGCATCCGTTAAAATATTTGTCGAGACCCTTTTGACAATTTCCTGTAAGACTGCTTTCGTTTGGGATATTGGAATCATTGGAGGCTCTACCAGGGGGAATGTTTAACGTGAATTATAAATATTTTCGAATGAATTTTCGACGAATCTAAGATCACGGATTTGTTACGGACGAGTTAAAATGTTGTAATAAGATTATTGTTTCACCTATTATAAAAATGTGTGCCAATTTCAAAGTCTTCATAGTTTGCAGGATAAGACGCCCGATGCATTCGTATCGAGCGATACACCTACGCCGGTGTTCGAATCCCGCAGACAGATTTTTCTAATAAAATACGTACTTAACAAATGTTCACCAATGATCTCCACGTTGAAGGAACATCTTCTATCTAAATATATAAAAATGAATTGCTGTTCGTTAGTCTCGCTAAAACTCGAGACCGGCTAGACCGATGTGGCTAATTTTGGTTTTGAATTATTTGTGGAAGTCCAGAGAAGTTTTAAAAGGTAGATAAATATGAAAATGCTCGGAATTAAATAAAAATAACAATTTTGTTTTCCCTTTAATGTGTCCCACGTCGGACGGATTCGTTTTGTTTGTTTTAAGTTTGTTTTATACAAAAGTTTAGGTATTTTATTTGTTGATTGAGGTACTACGAAGTCTGCCGGGTCAGCTAGTTGTGTAATAAATATCAAACCTAACAAAATCATAATTTGCATAATTACTGGTGGCAGGGTGTGTTGTGAGCCCACATAGATAGGTACAACCGCCCTGCCTATTTTCACAGTGAAGTAGGGTTGCGTTTCACCTTAAAGTTTGGGGCAGCCTTTGTACTGTAAAAACTGAGACCTTAGTACTCGTGTCTCAAGGTGGATGGTGGCATTTACATTGTTGATGTCTAGAAGCTCTGGTAACCATTTAACAACAGGTGGAGCGTGACCTCGTCCATTCATCTAAGCAATAAATAAAACTTTTTATAAACATCTCTACCTGGAGCCGGTGTACATTTTTTGACAAAAATAACATGATCATACATTGAAGAATGTTCACAGTTAATTTTAATATTATTTCCAACGTCAAAATCTTCATCGTCTTACTAACAGTAATATAAATTTTAGGAAAGAACGCTTAATATAAGAAGTTTCCGTTTTCGATTTTCTTAAAAAAAACACCGCTAAAAAGGTTTTGTTATTATCAAACTCTGACTCGATAGAAACTGCTCTGAAGTCTTCGAAAGAGTTGAAACTTTGAATATTTCTAAAGAAAAGAAAATTGTTTTTGTTTAACACAATTCAAAAATTACAGATATTTATTCGAAATTCACGTTGATTAAGTGAACGAACAAAAAATATATTTAATTTAAAAACTAACAACATTAGACATCGGTAAATGAATAAAAACTAATTAACTGAATAAAACACTAAAATAAATTTCTGAGTAAGTGGCTTTTAGTTCTACAAAAGCTCGATTTGCGTTCTATAACGCGAAGTTCTACGAAATGGCATTTGGCCGTGATGAATAAGCTCTATTAGCAGTGAAAATAAACAAACCGAAACCGCTATAAAGTTCATTGAATAATGATTGAAAATCGCATTGGGAATGTTAAATTAACAGTTAATAGAGTTTAAATAGACTTTTTTAGTTTTTTTATTATAGTACCTTAATAAAAACATTCTAAGAATGGGTCACCATTCTCGTCGAATCCATCGAATGCGACGAAGGGTTCGTCGTGCAAATCAACTCACAGCCAGTAAGTAGCTTCAAGGGATTATGCTAGCTTCACTGGACGTGTAGCTCACGGTGCTTTATCTGAAAGAATTTGCTAACATCCGCCCTAACAAGAGCAGTGCTCCGCTTAATTTACCACCGGATTGAAATCGCGACTCACCGAGAAGGTCTATGGTTTGGTCTATGGGTAAAGTTGTGCGTCGAACTCTGATAAAAACGGCCACTGGATCGACCAGTTTGTCTATTGAAATTAGAGTTCTTTGAAGAACTCCAATTATCTCATTATATTTTACGCTTTTCAGTACATCAATTCTTGAAATCGACAACCGACAGTTAGATCCCATAACATATAAACAGGATCCAATATTCCTTGATTTAAAATACATTATACTATATTATAGTTATGGTCCTTAAATAGCATAATCCAAAACTCCATACACATTTCAAACGAGCCCCCCGTAAGCCGGCATCAACAAAGATTACACTGTCATTGCGTGTGCACGAACTTCAATAAAGAATACTATTATTTGAAAGTATAAAGGGAACACGCAAGCCTCCGCCTCGCGGGCAAAAATTCCATTATTTAATTTAACTTAACGTGACATTATAGTAAATTCTTTCCCCCCATTATACATAATTTACGGGCATGAAGACGATGCGTTACAGGATATCTTAAATCATTCACAATTGTACCCGTACTAGGTGACGTGATGACATTACTCTGTCGATATTTGATAAAAATGTTCTTCGTGTTTTTAAATTTTCAGACATCTTTCAGCTCACGACCCATCTATTGTTAAGTGGTTACC